CATTAATACTAGTTGTATCGCGGTTTATCGAAAAACGATTTTGTTTTATATGGATTTGTTTAAACTCAATATCAACACAAACAAACATAGATAAACATTCACACAAAACAAATATCCAAACCACTCACACTAATATCAGTTCAGCATAACAAATATCCACACCACTCAGACTAATATCACACCGTCTAATATCAATATCCAGTCAGTCCATAATTAATATCCTCAACATCATAGACTAATACCACTACATCAAACTAATACATGACCATCGCGAATTAATACTCACTACACAGAAAAATACCCACACATCGCAAACTAATATCCTACCAATATTCAGTCATTCTATAATTAATATCATCACCATCACAGACTAATACCCACTACACACAAACTAATATCTGACCATCACGAACTAATACTCACTACACAGAAAAATACCCACACATAGCAAACTAATATCCTCCCATCACCTAATAATATCCTATCACTACAGACAGATATCGAATCACCCTACATTGTGTTCATATCCATTTCCACAACATCATCTTCTAAATCCTAAACCAAACAAACTCTCACTCTAAACCCTAAAAAATATCCACACCATCCAAACTAATATCGCACCGTCACAAACCAATATCTTGTCATTAAAAATGTAATATCTCGCCATCACAGTCAAATATCCACAATACACATACTGATATCTGATCGTCGCAAACTAATATCTCACTACACAGTCAAAATATCGAACCACCATACAGTGTGTTCTAAACCACTATCCCTAAACTCTAAACCCTAAGTAGGTCAATTGAATGTAGTTGTAATTAGTTGGGGGGTTTCAAAATTATTTTGGTGAAAATTAAACATTAGCTTTGTGATGTAAAAAATATAACCAGAAGGTCTAATAGGAACAACCATGCAGACTAATATCCAAATAAAGGAAACAAAAAATATAATCACGCAAAAATAATATTTTGTTACATAATGGGCAAAAACTAATATCCCTCCTCTATCGAACAAATACCCATTCACCCCAAAACAAATATATGTCTTTTATCGAGCAAATATCGGTGGCGCCCAGACTAACATCCATCCATTCCAGATATAATATCCATCCTTGGGCGAACAAATATCATTGACACCCTGACTAATATCCAGCCACTTAAATTAATATCTGAAATCATAAACGGACTAATATCAGACCTACCATGACAAAAAAAAAACCTTCATTTCCGGATTGTTTCCTCGGTGTTATCTTCATCCTCAGACAAACATCCATATCGTCCATACAAATACCCATTCACCCCAAAACAAATATACGTCCTTTATCGAACAAATATTCGTGACTCCCAGACCAACATCCATCCACACTAAAAATAATATCCACTTTTTAACGAACAAATATCCTTAACAACTTAACTAATATCCAATCACATAAACTAATATCTGAAATCACAAACGAACTAATATAAAGGTCTGAAAGACACTCACACTCCTACTACTATTGATTCATTGGCCTTCGGCGGGCAGCCCTAACTAAGGTTGCAAACCTTATGTGTTAGGACTTGATAATGTGTTTAGTTTTGATGGAAGACACAATTAATTCACAAACTAATATCCATCGCATATAATATCAGTTCATGCAAAAATAAATATCCATACTACCCAGACTAATATCCGACCATATAAACTAATTTCATTCGGCCCATGGATAATATTTTGGTTAAGGATGGATACTAGATTGGACGATATGAATATTAATCCGGGTTGATTTCTCTATTTCATGTTAGAATAGTTGGTGAGTAGCATTAAATACTCAAGATCTCTCCCATGTGAAAATTTATCAAAAGCAACAAAAGTAGCAGATGGTGGGCCACGCTTTTCTCTCTCTTTTGTCAACTCTGACGGATATTAGTTCGTGTATTTTTGGATATTTATTTGTCCCGGCTGGATACGAGTTATCTCAGCGGCTCTCTCTCTCAATCCCGCCCAAATTAAAGGTGGACCCAAGCCACCTTTTTTAGCTTGATCAGCTGAGCCGGCTTGTGCAAAAAAACCTACAAACAGCTCACTTAAATGAGCCATGACTGGGCTGACCTCCTCACCCTTAGATTAAAATTGGGTCTATGTGGACAAATCTGGACCTTGTGAGTATCTACTCACAAAACACCTTGTGAGCAGATTAACTTTTGCGAAAATCTGAACTGTTGACTGTAGCTCGAGAATTTGTGCAGATGGTGTCCACTCAATTTGGTCGGGTCATTAAAATTCTGCGATCTGATCCGGGTGGAGAATTTTCCTCCAACCCGCTAGCTGAACTCTTTAAAGAACATGGCATTCTTCCTCAACAATCCTGCCCGGGCATATCTCAACAGAATGGCTTAGTCGAACGGAAGCATCGTCATGTTCTAGATCTCACTCGGGCACTATTAATTCACTCACAAGTCCCGTCCGGATTCTGGGTAGAGGCTGTGCATACTGTTGTCTATCTAATAAATAGACAAATTACTTCGACTCTTCATCAACGCAGCCCATATCAAGCTCTTTATGCTCGTCTTCCAAATTATGACTGGCTGCGGGTGTTTGGCTGTGTATGTTATGTTCTTGTACCTCGTCGGGAGCGAACTAAACTCACTCCCAAGGCCGTCAAGTGTGTGTTTATCGGCTATAGTGATAAACACAAAGGCTATGTTTGCTATGATGAGGCAAAGAAACGGATCAGAATTTCGTGTCACGTCAAGTTTCTCGAACATCTATCCTACTATGGCTCCTCCACGACCTCAAGTACCGCGTCAGACTTGGAATTTTTGGCGGATGCATGGCCGCTTGCTGAAGCGGGGCCTGCTGTTCCTCCCCCTGATCATGATGACCCTGAGACGGCTGGCTCTCCTTTGCTTTCTGGCAGCTCTTCATCCTCATCTCCCTCCACTGATCAGCTGACTCCCTCCACAAGTTCGGGACCGTCCAGCCCGTCTCACCATAATTCGAGCTCCTCCACTGGTTCCTCATCCGCTTCCGTTTCGTCATCTTTATCCCCCATTTCTTTTGAGCTGGATGATAATGCCGAGGTGCAGGAGTTGCGCCGTTCGACGCGTGTTACTCGAGGTCAGCCGCCCATTCGCTACTCGGATTTTGTTGCTTTTGCTACGCCTACAATTTCTGTTCCCGCTACATATAAGCAAGCTCGTGGCATTGCATGTTGGGAGGCAGCCATGGACGTGGAAAAAGAGGCTCTTGAGGCCATGCATACGTGGGATTTGGTGAAACGTACCCCGGACATGTCTGTTATTGGCAGTAAGTGGATTTACTCTATCAAGATGCTTCCCGAGGGTATCATTGAAAGACATAAAGCAAGGGTTGTGGCTCAGGGGTTTCGACAGGAATATGGCGTTGACTACGCGGAAACTTTTGCTCCGGTGGCCAAAATGCAGACCGTACGGAGTCTTTTGGCGGTTGCTGCTATGAAGCAGTGGCCGTTACTCCAGTTGGACGTGAAGAATGCGTTTTTGCATGGGGACTTGAAGGAGACTATCTACATGGAACGTCCGCCATGTTATACACGAGGTGACAGTTCGATGGTTTGTCGTTTACGTCGCTCCTTATATGGATTAAAGCAGGCTCCTCGTGCCTGGTTCGAGAAGTTTCATGCGACTATCTTGCAGGCTGGCCTGGTGCAGAGTGACAATGATCCATCACTTTTTCTTCGGTCTACTAGTCGTGGCCTGACGGTGCTCTTGATCTACGTGGACGATATGGTGGTGACTGGGGATGATCGTACTGGCATTGATGACTTGCTTCTTACTCTTTGATCGGCTTTCAACCTCAAAGAGCTCGGTGATCTTTCTTATTTTTTGGGGTTGGAGATTCATCGTACTTCTGCAGGGATACATGTTGGTCAAAAGAAATATATCGTCGACTTACTTGAAGAAGCTCAGATGGATGAGTGCATTGCTTGTAACACACCCATGGAGCAAAATCTTAAGCTGCGGCAGTTAGATGGGGAGTTACTGCCTAATGGTTCTCTATATCGGAGTATTGTGGGGAGTCTGATATATCTGACTCATACTCGTCCTGACATTTCCTATGCAGTACAGATTGTGAGTCAGTTTATGTCAGCTCCACGCACCTCTCACTGGCTGGCCGTTTAGCGGATCTTGAGGTATTTGAGGGGGACACAGGAGGTCGGCTTGCTCTTCCCAACTCGAGGTGACTTCATTTTAGAGGCCTTCTCCGATGCAGATTATGCAGGCTGTCAGGACACGCGTCGATCTACCTCCGGTTGGTGTGTGAAGCTCGGTAACTCCTTTATATCCTGGCGGTGTAAGAAACAGGATAGAGTGTCCAAGTCGTCCACCGAGGCAGAATATCGGTCTATGAGTGAAGTAGCCTCTGAGATCGTCTGGCTGCGACGGTTGTTAAGGGAGCTCGGGGTGCTTTGTCCAGTTCCGATTCGTCTGCATGTTGACAATACGAGTGCTATACGTATTGCCACTAATCCAGTGCTACATGACAGGACGAAGCATATTGAAGTTCACATTCATTATGTTCGCCAACTTGTGAGTGAAGGGACTCTGGAGCTTGTTTACATTACTAATGAGGAGCAACCTGCTGACCTGTTGACTAAGGCAATGTCTACTACATGTCATTGGTTTCTAGCACACAAATTGATGTTGCGGCAACACCATCAATTTGAGGGAGGGTGTTAGAAGTCTGGGTACCTGTTTGTAATTGTGTATATTAATGACGTGAGAAGGGTTAGGGTTCTCTGTCGGCCTAGTATATATTCTTGTGTTGATGGCCGACCTCTGTAACTTTGATGGTGAATAAGATACATCTCCGCCTTGTGCCGTGGACTAGTCTTGACGATACTCGTCAAGGAAACCACGTAAATCACGTGTTCTCGATCGTTCATATTTGTGTTTATGATTATTATCATAATTAACTGTCTTTTTCGTTTCCGAAACAAGCAGATTAAGGATCAATCAGTAAAATACTATTCAGTATTACGGCTCTGTCAATGCCGCCAGCGCATTCTTGAGGCCTTGAATCGCCCTGTCTTTCTTCTTCAACGCACCTTCCTTCTCTTCCAAAACCCTATCCCTCTCTTCAATCTTCCGATTCAGCTCGGCCTCTTTCTTCTCCCATTCACACTCCTTCTCCTTCAATTTCCCGTCTCTCTCTCTCACCTCCTCCTCTTTCTCCTCTAAATCCCTAACATTATCCCCAATCTCCCTCCTCAATTCCTCCTCTTTCCCCTTCCACTCCCTCTCCTTCTCCTTCAAATCCCTAATTTTCTCCCCAATCTCCCTCCTCAGCTCCTCCTCTCTCCTCCTCATCCCCTCCACCTCGGCCTTCGCGCCGCTCGAGTCGACGATCACCTTCCTGTCGTTGGACAGCTCCAGCCGGTCCCACGGGGTTTCGAACCGCGGCGTGACGCCGTACTTGTACCAAGGGAACATCTCGTTCAGCCTCCGGTACTCGCCGTTGGCGGAGTCCCGGCGGATCGAGAAGCCGTCGCGGTTGACCCTGCACTGGTACCGGTACAGGTCCGCCGCGAGGTCGCGGAGAAGCTGGCCGCGGATCGTGGCGCCGTGGATCTTGAGCTCGCCGCCGGCGAGGTCGAGGCGGGTGACGAGCGCGCGGCTCCAAGCCGCCTGTTGGGAGTACGCGTCCCAGTGTTCTTTGACAACGCAGATTGAGATGGCGGTGTGGTTCTGGAGGTCGTCGATGAAATGGTTGTCCGTTGAAATCTCGATTGATCTCATTTTTTTGGTTACTTGGGAGAGAGAGAGAGGCTGGTTAGATACTAGATAGAGGAATCAGCTATGGTGCCTTACTGCCTTTATACTGCTGCGTCCAAAGACTTTAAAGGGTCAACGTAAGGGTCGGGGAAGGAAGTACAGCAACATAATGATGACGTGTGTGGGTTGGAGTTAGGGCTGTCATTTCGGTTTCCGGTTAGCGGCTAACCGGACGGTCTAACCGTTAACCGCCGGTTAGCGGCTAACCGGAAACCGAAAAAATTGGGCACGGTCGGTTGTCGGAGGCTCTCCGTGGTTAGGCGGTTAGCCGAAAAACCGACGCCGGTTAAACCGGCTAACCGACACTAACCGGCAGGACTAAACGACGCCGTTTTTTGCCTTACATAAAACACCCCATCCCCAAATCCCCAACCCTAGCAGCCTTCGTCCTATCTCCCAAATCCCCAGCCGCCTCCCTCCAATCCACCTGCTCCCAACTCCAATCGCCGTCGCCGCAACTCCGCCTCGCTGCCCGCCTCCAATCGCGCTACCCCTCCACACCGAGCGACCGACAACACCTTTCTCCCACTCCGAATTCAATTTACCCTCCTCCCACCATCTTCTCAGCAGTTTCCCTTCTTCCTTCCTCTCTCTCTCTCGCTCGCTAGCAAGCAAGCAAGCAAGCAACCCATTCCTCCTCTTGCTCGCCGGAATGGCCCATCCCGATGTCCATCTACGGCGTAGGGGTGGGCATCCGGTTCGGTAAACCGGACCGAACCGGACCGAAACCGAGCCAACCTGAACCGAACCGAACATTTGTTATTCGGTTCGGAATTCGGAACTGAAAAACCTATATTTCGGAAACCAGGATCTGTCCAACCGAACCGAGTTTCCGATTCCGAACCGTGCAACCGATCATCCCAACTCTCACACTCATAGCCCACAACCCAAAGCCCAATCTCACACACTCACACCCCGATCCCAGAGCCCACAACCCCAAGGCCCAAGCCCTCCCTCTCTACATTTGTTAGTGGAACCCTAGCCCAGACCAAACCTCACCACTCTCAATCATATCACTCACATGCAGCAATCGCAGCCGCCGACAGAGAAAGGAGACTAGAGAAGACTTGGCAGATTGGGTGGGGATTCTGGGGGATTTAGCTCGTCTCCAACAAAATCACCTCCCATCCCACACCCAATATGCATCCCCTTCAATCCAATCGCGCCGTCGACAGCCACATGCAGGCGACGGGAAGTGGAAGGGTCGCGGTGGGAGAGGACGACCACGGCGGCGGGGGAAGCTGAGCGCGACCACGGCGGCGGAGGGAGCTGAGTGCGACCACGGCGGCGGAGGGAGCGAAGCATGATTTATCCTTTCGCCGGCGTCGGATCTGACGATTCAGAAGAAAGTTTCTCGAGGAGGCGGCCATGGCGGTGATGCTTCCTCTGGGCTGGGGACTGCGACCAGCGTCTGCTTCTGGGCGAAGTTGAACTCTGATGCTGCTGGGGGGTGGGAGAAGGAAGAAGAGGAGGTGGGAGAGGGAGAAGGAAGATTGGGTTTTGATTTTTTTGGCTGTGGGTCTTCAATGAGAAGATGAAGTAGGGAAAGCAAGGAGAGAAGTCGGGTTCGTCGGTTTTTTAGTTCCGAACCGGAATATATTTCAGTTCGGCCAGACCGAACCGAAATATATTTCGGTTCGGGATCGGTTTCAACTTTGAGTTATATTAGAGTATCGGTATGCTTAGTTCGGTTCGGTTTGAACCGAACCGAACCGATGCCCACCCCTGCTACGACGGCGGCGAGGCAGAACAGAATAGCCCCTGAGAGTGCGGCGTACATGTGTTTGGGCAGCGAACCGGGGACAACCCGGTGGAAGAAACTCACCGGAATAGTCGCCGCGAAGCAGAGCAGGAAGCGGAGAACGGGGACGGAGACCCCGATCGCCGCCGCCATGGATTGCATGTCTAAATTCATCGACGGGGATTGCGTGACGACAATTCTGCCGTTCAGAGGATCCCCCAAGGAAGAAGAATTAGATCGTTAACTTCCTTTTCTTTCTTTCTTTCTCCTTCCTTGTTTCAGTTGGTTTGGTGATGGGGCGAAAGAAAACTTATATAAAATGGAAAGGAAGAAGAAGGGCGGTCGCTGCTCTGGAAAAGAAGAAGAAGAATCGAGATGGTGAAAGGAAGAAGAAGAATCGAGATGGTGAGAGGGCGGTCGGCGGTCGCTGCTCTGGAAAGTGGATAGGAAGAAGAAGAATCGTGAAGTGAGAGGGTGAGGAGTGAGTGGTTCAGAATTTTGTTGCTTTTAATTTATTTTTATAAAGGGTATTTTTCGGTTGGCCGGTTAACCAGCCTAAAACCGAAACCGACCGGTGGTTGGCCGGCTAACCGTTACCACTCTCATGGTCGGTGGTCGGCAGGTATGCAGGGTGGCTCGGTTTAACCGAAACCGACCGACTGCCACCCCTAGTTGGAGTCATCCAAGCAAATAGGCTCTTAAATCTAGGGTTGGCATTTCGGTTACCGGCTATCGGTTAACCGACCGGTTAAACCGATAACCGGACGGTTATCCACTAACCGATAACCGAAGTAACCGATGTTCGGTCGGTTATCGGAAGTTGGCCAAAATGATTTTTGGTCTTAAAAGTGATTCATTTAACTGATAACCGACGTAACCGAGAAATCGAAGCCTATTTCGATCGATTTTCGGTAAGGGGGTATTTATTTCGGTTAATCGGTTATAACCGAAATAACCGAACTGCCACCCCTACTTAAATCTGTATAGTTTGGGAATTGGCCGACTCGTCACCATAGCTATTCACCTCACATTTCCAACATTATCTTCCATCGCCTAGTCAATCGAGAGTTGATATCGGTCAAGAAATTTGTATTTAAGGAGAAATATAGTTGTCTCTAATTCGGTTTTTGCCATATCGTGATCGTGGACGCATTATTGATGATGTTAGGGATGATAATGGGTCGGGTTTTGCCAAACCCAAATCCATGGGTTTATCCGTCAAAAAATCCGGGGTAAAATTTACTGGGTTTGAAAAACTCAAACCCAACCCAACCCGCTGGGTATCCGCGGGTTCATGGGTACCCATGATAAAAAAATTTGCTATAACAAATTCCTATCAAAATAAAATTTAAACAGCAATTTTCCCATACAAATTATCCATGCATAAAATACCATTCTAGAAAATTCAAACAAATCACAATTACACTAAATAAAAACACACGAAATAAGTGTAGTGAGAGTTAGATTGGGGGAAATTAGAATTAAGGTAGAGTTTGGGGAGAGTAAGCCGACGAAATAAGTGTGGACGAGTATTCCTAAACCCAACCCAACCCGGTGAATAGTATACGGGTTTAAAACCCGAACCCGACTCGAAACCCGTCAACGCCGATTGGGTCGGGTAGGATACCCGTGGGTTCGAGTTTTGTTGTCATCCCTAAAGGATGTGACATCTTATTTAGTTCAAATCACTTTCGATAAGAAGAAAAAGATTTGCCGAATTATTAGAAATGTGAAAATCGATAAGAAACTTTACTTCTATCCTCTCTATTGGACAACTGAGGAGGACGAAATCGGATTAGGTCTTCCCGACCAACAACCATAAAGCATGAAGCAGAAGCCTCTCGGGTCTCGGCCAATGGGCTCTCGCTTCTGTGATAACATACTCATAGCGGTGTGTGATGTCAGTCAGGTTGGGAGCAATCCAATAAATGCGACGGCATATTATTTATAAAAATGTTGTAAATACAAAGATTGTAAGAATTAGATGATTGGAGGAATGTCTCACAAGTTGTGATCACAAGTCCACTGTAAGCATCGTAATCAAATTGCATAACGACATTTAGGGTTCGTTTGGAGGTTGAGATTCTTCAAATATGTGTATTCCATGAATAGATGTATTGTAAATACGAAGATTGTAAGAATTAGATGATTGGAGGAATGTCTCGTTTGTTTGTAGCAACTCAAAAAATTTAAAGAAAAAAAAAATCACTTTATGAGCTAAAAGTGGAACAATTTAAAGCCCACAATCTCAAAGGAAGAATCTCGCCTTTTTGTTGAGATTTAAAATGAGTGATTGTGGGTGAAATAAGATTTGAAGGCCCACCTCAAATGCATGTATTGAATAAAGTTTTGGGACAAAAAAACGATGGATTCTCGAGAATACATGAATTCAAAGAATCATTCATTCATTTAGAATCATAACTTCCAAACGACCCCTAGTCATTTTATTAGAATACCATACGATCATGAGAGGCTTTTTTATTATTATTTGGAGCGGAAATATCAAAGATTATAAAGGAAGGAGAAGTTACAGCAACATGCTGAGCATAGCAAGATGACATGCATGGATTGCACATATATAGAGATCAGCAATTATGTCATACAAACTCTAAAGGGCTAAACAATATGATTGATCAATAATTTTGTAATTCATTTCACTAATAGTAGTCACTTTCCATTCAGTTTCATTGAATATATGTGACGATTAAATAATTAATAAAGACTCAAAACCCACTCAAATTAAATGACCAAAAATAGATAGAAAACGACATGTGGAAGTCAAGCTCACAAACCACAATTAATAATAAGAAAAAAGTTTAATCCTTGAAGAAAATTTTCTAGATTTATGCATGCCATCCTTGAGTAATGAACATGCTTATCTTCTCTGTATCGTTCCAAGTTTATCGGATGTCCCGAAGAGACAATATTTGGAAGAAATTTTTATTCGATATGAAATTACAGACTTTTTATTTCCAAAACAAGCGAATTAAGGATCGATCATTGTTTAGTACTACGGTTCCGACAATGCCGCCAGCGCATTTTTAAGGCCTTGAATCGCTCTGTCCTTCTTGTTAAGTGCAGCCTCCTTCTCTTTCAAAGTCTTCTCTTGATCGTGAATCAATCGACTCAGCTCGGTCTCCTTCCTGTTCCATTGAGCCTCCTTCTCCTTCAAAGCCCTGCCTCTCTCCCGAAGCTCCCCACTCAGTTCGGCCTCTTTCTTCCTCAACGCCTCCACCTCCGCCCGGCTCCTGCTCAGCATCTCCTCCACGTCCGCGGTGAACGGAGATTTTCCGCCGGACCGCTCCAGCCCGTTCCATATCGTGTTGGAGCGCGGCGTCACTCCGTATCTGCCAAGAAAAAGGATGGAAAGATAATTAAAATTGATCAAGGCGCGAACAAATCACTCTGTTTAGAGTGTTATTTGCCTTCACTATGAACTTGCTGATAGGATGGAGCAAAATCAGGCTAATCACTTTATCCAATCAAATAAAGTAGAAAGCATACTTAAAAAAAAACCACTTGTACTTTTCTATGGTATTTACTTTTTTTTTTTTTTTTACAACTCTTAACATTACCTGTGCCAGGGGAACATGTCGTCCACCCTTCTAAACTGGCCGGGGACGGCGTTGTAGATCGAGAAGCCGTTGCGATTCACCCTGCACTGGTACTTGTAGAGGTCGCCGGCGAGATCTTTCAGCCGCTGGCCGCGGATTACGACGCCGTGGATCCTGAGCTCCCCGCCGGAGACGTCGAGGTGGGCGACGAGGGACCGGTCCCAGCCGGACTGCTGGGTGTACGCCTGCCAGTTCTCCTTGACCACGCAGACGGAGATGAAGTTGTAGTTGCTCAGGTTGTCGAGGAAGTGGTTGTCCGACGTGATCTCGATTGAGCTCACCATCTCCGATCAACCGGCAGAAACAGGGAGAGAGAGATTGATTGATTGATTGCAGCTTCGGTTGAGATGGTAGAAGGCTCCTTTTTTATAAGCTAGGATGTATGTAACGTAACGTTACCCACTTGTTATTGTTTTTTCTTCCCGCGTTATTAGACCCAAAGACTATTATTTTGGATGTATACACACATCAACTTCTCCGAGCTTGCAAACTGAATTTATACCGTAACGTTAAAGGTACAAGTTTAGTTTGTACCACAAAAAAAAATTTATAGGTTTATGTTATGATACAAACTGAACTTGTATCATAGCATTAGATGATACGTTATAGCATCATGAAGTTTCTTGTGTTTGTGATAATATACTCATAGTATATTATGTGTCAGTCGAGTTGGGAATGATCAAGTGACCGTGATGACTCGCGGGTTGACCCACTTTGACCCTGACCCGATGAGAAAAACGGGTCACACGCACCTGCTGGGTTGACCGCTACAAGGTACGGGGTTGGAGGTGAAATTATGTCTTTTTTTTCTCTCTCTGGTTTGCGAAATGCGCATATTTTCTGATTTTTTCTTTTCGCATAACTAAATATTTAGAATACTTAATTGAACATTTGAAAATTGATGTTATATACGTGTGTGTGAATTTTCACTATATGTTGGATCTAAGTACGACATGTTACTTTGGTGTAATGTTATATTTTATTACTTATATAGTCATATGTTAGATGAGATTTGATATCATTTATCAGGATAAGTATAATATAATGACTCTATCCATATTTCCAGCCTAAAACGAGTTACCCGGTTAACCCGACTCACTAACCCCTGTTTCCATCCCGAATCTCTCTCCTCACCTCCTCCTCCTCTCTCCTCTTCACCGCCTCCACCTCGGCCTTCCCGCGGCTCGAGTGCGCCTCCACGATCACCTTCCCGTCGTTGGACAGCTCCAGCCGGTCCCACGCCGTTCCGAACCGCGGAGCGTGACGCCGTACTTGTACCAGGGGAACATCTCGTTCAGCCGCCTGTACTGGGATTTGGGCGTCCTTGTGGATCGAGAAAGCCGTCGCGGTTGACCCTGCACTGGTACTTGTACAGTTCGCCGGCGAGGTCATGGAGCTGCTGGCCGCGGATTATGGCGCCGTGGATCTTCAGTTCGCCGGAGAGATCCAGGTTGCCGACGAGTCCCCTATTCCAGCCCCTGCTGCTGTGAGTACGCGTCCCAGTTTACGGTGACCAGGCAGACGGAGATGGAGTTGCGGTTCCCGAGGTTGCCCACGAAATGGTTGTCCGACGACATCTCGAATGATTTCATTTCTTTCGTTTCTTGGAGAGGAAGAAAAAAGAGAGATTGATTAGATAGGAATTAGGGTAGCTAGGTTGTCTATATAGTATACTGCTTGGGGAAAATAAAACCATTGGCACCTAAAAAACTAAGGCTAGTTAATACGATCGGGTCCGGTTAAATTGGCTCGAATTAATTCGATCCCGAATTGATTAAGGGAGGAAGTGCGTATAGCAACATGTCGAGGGTAGGTGCGTAAGATGTCATGACATGCTATATGATGACGTCGGATGATGACGTGTGTGGATTGGAGTCATACTACAAGTGGATGGTTAAATCTGTACTAGTGGCAGGAAAATTGGTCGACTCACCACTTGAGAATTTGTACAGATGGAAAATTGGAAATGGTTAAATTATATATTTGGTCACTCGAATTACGTAAACTTTTCATGTTTGTCACTCGAATTGGTTTTCTTTCTTATTTATCACTAACGTTACGAATTGTTTCATCGTTAGTCACATATCGATTAGCGGGAGCAGGCAGAAGTGCTCCCACTTGGGAAAGAAGTGCGCGCATTCTGCATGAATCTCGTCCCGTTCGATCTCGTGGCGTCGGGGATCTTCGTACCTTCTTCAGACAACGGCCGTGGTGGAGTTGGAGAGGACCGTGGTGTGGGCTCGACGGTAAGAATGTGGGGTAAATTACTTTTTTCTTCTTCTTACTATTAACATGTCACCTAGTTAACTGTCCAATTAGCATTTTCGATTGGCCACATCATAAAAAAATTGACAGAACTAACGGAGTTTGATGTCGGGTGACTAACAATGAAACGATTCGTAAAGTTAGTGACCAATCAATAAGAAAGAAAAAAATCATTCGGATGACAAACGTGAAAAGTTCGTATAATTTGAGTGACCAAACGTGTAATTTAGCCAAATAAAAATCGTTAACTCCGACTTTTGTCATATATATGGCGACTGTGACATTTAAGTCTTTTCTTTCCTCAACTTTCTCTATCAAATTTAGCAACGAACACAGTTATTAATGGCATGGCATATGATTTTGGTTGTTTAGTCCACATCATTTTCAATAAGAAGAGGAAATTTAGCCAAATTATTAGAAACGTAAAAAAGCCAGAAGAAAGTTCTCCCTCTTCGTTTGATCAACGGGAGGGATCTGGTCCTTAAGACAAGTTCTTAAGAAGCTGCTTAAACACGATCATTGCTTAAACACGATCATAGGCATTAGATCAATCAAATGCGTTGGAGGAGCAAAACCCATTTCATTACAAGGTTATTTGGGTAAAGCTGATTTTGTAATTCAAAGTAGAAACGATAAATCCGAAATACAATTATTCAAAAAAAAAAAAAAAACTAACGACATAAATCCTTTGTACGAATGTGTACATCTATTTTCTCAGATTTCATATAATTTACTAAGACTTCCAGACTTAACCAATTTGTTCCAACTCATTGGGTGGACTTGATTAATGGTATTGGATCCAGTGAAGAGGTCAAACTTAGCGGCTAACCGGAGATTCTGATGGATAATCGTCGGTTAGAAGCTAATCGAAAACAGGGCGGTTACTATTCGCGGTCGGTGGTCGGCAAGGGGGAGAGGTTAATCGGAGGCGATTAACCGTAGTTAATTGGCTAAACGAAGTTAGCCGATATCTGCTCCCTACTACTCAAAACAACTAGTGGTGGAAAGCAGTGCGGTCCGGTCCATTGAAGCTAATCGAAAACAGGGCGGTTACTATTCGCGGTCGGTGGTCTGCAAGGGTGAGAGGTTAATCGGAGACGATTAACCGTAGTTAATTGGCTAACCGAAGTTAGCCAACATCTGCTCCCTACTGCTCAAAACAACTAGTGGTGGGAAGCGGTGCGGTCCTGTCCATTAATGGTATTGGATGCAATGAAGGGGTCAAACTTGGCGTGCCTACTGCTACAGACTATTACTTCGTACAAATACTTGCTATTTTTTTGTAAGATGATGACGTGTATGGACAGGGAGTGGATGCATATACTCAAAGTTGTTCCATGAAAGCATTGATACGTTTGAGAGAGAAACATATGTACATGCAAAGATACAGAGAAGGTTTCCAGTCTTAGCATTATATAACGGGGGAATAACCATAAATATGGAATGACGGATCTTCTTCAGCTTTTTGCTACATACAGTGAAACTGCGGGGCAATCCTTTCCAAAACTACTACACACAGCCCACCAACTGGAAGATCAAATTATTAAAAACCTCCACCAGGGTTTTTGCATCTGTACAGCTCCTCCTCCAAATTGGTTGTTCGTTCTTTATCACCATCGTTACCTTTCAAAGAAAAGGTAGCTTCTTCCCGCTTCCTTTCCATTGTTTGATTTACACTGAAGTTCCAAATCCGGACGAGCCTCTGTCAAAACACAGCAGTGTGCGCAATATGCAGTTAAGATCACTGCCATATTGTTCAAAAGAAAGCTGATAAGCTGGTGCATCAGAAGGACAATAGATTCATCTTGAACAATCACTTTCTCATGCTCGTAGGTCAAATATGTACACAATCTACCGCCCCCTCGTAGTAACAAAAGCAGTTGCAATTTTATAAACCGATGAACACTGAAGCTCAAGCTCAAGCACAAATATGATGATACACAAATAAGCTAAACCACAAACTAAACCAATATGGCATCCCATTCTAGCGTGTCTATCTGTATGTGACTCTGTGCTTGTAATGTGTGTCCATGAGATATACATAAGAGAGAGAGATGAATCTAATGAAGAATATCTAGCTCACCGAGATGCGACGAACCCATCATATCAATTATCCTTCCTCCGTCTCCGATTTAGGGGCGTGACTCGACGGTTCCTCGGTCTTAACTTCCTCTGGAGTTGAATCCTTCTCTACTTCATCCGGCATGGTATCTACAGGCAGCTGTCCGAAGCTGGCACCTGGAAGACGCAGGAAAGGGAGAATGTTAAAAGAAACCCCCCACGAAATGGCAACAAAAGTTGCAGAACGTCTTCCTCCCAAACAATACAAAACCAGCTGAAGAACATAATAAAGGAAGGCCTTTCAAACACCATCTGCGAGAACAAAGACAGAGAGCAGGCAGAGTACTATACACAACATTAAAGTTGTAGGTTACCAAGCTCCCATTTACATGATCGAAGTTTCCTGTTTTGAAAAGCACCAACTTTAAATATCTCTGGATTTCTTCCCATTCCTGAAGCGGTAAGATTTCTCAGGCAAGGGAGGAAATACCGAAGAGGCAATCTCAATTTGACACAAGGGTAATCGAAGCAATCGCCATGGAGGACAAACTGAATCCCCGATCAAGATAAAACATAATCCCAAATGACACACGAAGGAAAAACCTAACCCTAGAAACCGATAAGAGATGGAAATACAGAAATCGAATTCAAAAAACTCGATTACCTTTGATGAAATAATCCGAGGAAGGCCAGCCGCGGACGGTGGAACCGGAGAGCGATTCCTCCTCCGTCAATGGATTCGCAAGCCTCTCGACGAGCTGGGCAATCCCGTAGGATCCGGCGGTAGATCTAGCGGGAGGAACCCAGTACGAAGTCCCGGGGAGGAAAGGCAGCCAATCGGGGGCGGCGCGGCGGACGATGATGCGGTGGATGGCGTCCTCGAGCCTTCCGACGAGGGGATCGGCGGACTCATCGGCGGCCGCGGGCTCGGCGTTGTTGTTGGGGGTGTTGGAGTTGGAGCGGAGGGCGAGGCAGCGGAAGGAGGAGGAAGATCTGGAAGCTGCCGTCGCTGCTGCCGCTGCGAGGTAAGTGCGGGAAGAGGATAGCGAAAGGGAGCGAGCCATTGGCGAAGATGGATGGATGGATGGATGGGTTGGTTGGTTTTCCTCTGGAGTGTGGAGAAAGGAACAGGGAAGAAGAAACTGGACGCGAAGATAAATTTTGGGGTTAAATAGGGAGAGGAAGTGGTTGGATAAAGGAAGGAAATTGGAGGGCTGAGATGGAGGATGGTGGGTTGAGGGAGGTTCGTGGACGGTTAGGATTCGCCGGGAAACGGAAATGATGGCGGTGGCGCGGTTTGGCGATTGCCGGTGCTATGCTACTGCCGAACCCGGCGGCGGCGGGAGGGATACGTGGGTAACGTTTGTACTAGCAGTTGGAAAATGAGGATAGGTGGAGCTGTGTTTGTTTTTGTTTATTCATTTCTTGCATAAGAAACCAACACCGGGACTAGGGATGGCAATGGATCGGGTCGGGTCGGAGTTGGATAGTTCATATCCGTTATCCTATTCAAAGTAGTTCGGGTTTTATCTATATTCATACCCACATGTGAAACGGGTAGAAAATCAAAACCACGCCCATACCCATTTGGGTTTCGACTATCCACGATTATCCGTGGTTAATAATTTCTCTTCATAACTCTAACAATATGTTAACATTCACACGCATTCTCACATTACATAAGAGGAAAAATACGACAATAATTCACTGAAATGAAAAAAATTAATTAAAGCAATACAATTTCATGAAAATATTATATTTATATGCTAAATATAAAATATGTTAGAGACAAATAATGATTATTTCTAGACAAAATATATATGCATGTGTATAATCGGGCGGGTTCGGCTTGGATAGTGACAAACTCATGCCCACCCATTACCCGCAATATTCGGGTTCAGATTTTACCCGTATCCACTAAATGTCCTTTGAGTTCGGGTTTTACCCTACCCAATTAGGCCGGATTCGGGCGGATATCCACAATTACAGATATTTTTGCCATCCCAAACCAGGCCCGGCCTTTTGGCCGGGAGGTTAGATCGGGAATATGGTATATAATAATAGATATGATATATGGATGCTCGGAAATGCATTTTAATGTTTGTCTATGCATCTTGTGCTTAAAATATAACAAAAAAGGGAGAAATAAGTATAATTATACAATGAGAAAAGGGATATGTATAACTAATTGTTTCTTAATCCTTAACTAGACCATATATTTTAATATTAGAGGCGTTTTCCATAATACATACGTGATCAACCTTAAGGATGAAAGAAGAAAATTGTTGGTCTCTCATAGAATTCAATATTTTCGAGAAGTCTTTTTTTAGATGAGAGAATTTTTGTTGATCACGGCGTGGATAATGGATCTGAAGTTGCAGAATTTTAAATATATAGGACAATGATGCAAATTAATTTGTCACTAATAGTTAGTTGAGCAATGTATTTTATACGGGTGATTGCCCAAATGACTCACAGATCGCAACTGTGACCAACAATGATCTAGTAATTTTCCTACAATATAGTTATTGATGAAATAAATTAAATCAATAAATATGGGTGAATATAAGTTTACAGTGAAGATAGGTCCATGTAAAAAGCGAAAAATATGCGAACCTCTTACCATAATTTGAGAGATAATCGAAATAAAGTTAGGTCTACAATTGAACAAACATTGGCATGTTGTTTGGCAACTTCATAGGAGTCCTCTTGAATAGTATTTCCATTCCCCTTAGTCTAGCATTAGGAATATCATAAAACATAGGATTTTGCTACGGTGACTTGCATGTCACCGTAACTTGCACTTTTCAGTCGACCTCAGTTAGGATTAGGTCGACCTAATCGGTTGTTTCAGTGTAAAAACAGTTTCATGGTGCCTACTTTGGAGATTCATATCTTACAATTGTCTAAATGAAAATTGGACATTAATAGCTTGTTTTGAAGCTGTAGTGTCCCTCTACACATTGAATTTGGGAGCTCGATAGGAAGTCCAGAAGACCAATTTTGAACATGATCAAAAGGCTATGTCAAAACTGGGAAACTGCCTGAAAATAGCCAAGGCTGGGAACGTGTTTGTGAAGCTTACTTTGGAGCTCAATTCGAGAAGCATGGATGAGATTCGAGTCCAGGGGCCTCTACCAAATGAAAGTATGTATGTGTTTGAACCATCTAGCTCCGGATCGAACAATGATATTTGTTGGTGTGGGTCGACTCGTCGTCCGTTCGTCCGATCTCGTCGGGAGGGAGAGAACCTGTGAAAGAGCCGGGGTTGTCCCCCGGATTAAGCTCCGACGAGCAAGTCAGATGTCGGTTTGTGGAGAGAGTTGAGAGAATAGATAGAGAGATAAAGTGTAGTGAGATAGTAGAAAGTGGAATGTCCCGAGAGAAAGGAAGTGGAAAGTCCTTATATACCTGTAGCGGGTATCGAGCGTTGGGCATCGCCGATTATGCGCCCCACTGCTTAGTCTGTGCGCTCCGTCCCTTAGTAACACCCCCAACAGTATGTTTTTCTACAAAGGCAAGACATTGGATGAAATATTGGATATCTGGAAGACTTCACACAAAAGGTTCGAAGTTGCTACAAAGGTTGTTTTTCTAACAACTTGCTTGTGCTACAAAGGCTGTTTTTCTCGAGTAAGCGATCCATTCTCGATCCTCATCCGTTCATTGAGGGTCCATTTCCTAGGTATCCTACTACGCCAAGTCATTAACTGACTAATACAAGGGAGCGAGAGATAACCTCATGTCAGTTTTATCTTGTGACAATGGTCTTGTAATCTAAAGAACGAATTTAGTTGTCATTTCCTCGAACTACAAAGGGTTTACTATGTTGTAGCCTCAATACACGTGCTTATCACGACACTATCGGGATCACGAGCTAGTTGCCCCATTGATGTGAAGTGTAAGGGAGTAAATCTTACCATACTCAAACCTTAACATTTAGGTCATTGCAGCAAAACCTCAAAACCTGAATAAGGATTCACATTCACCTCTGAATAAGCCTCAACACCTAAATAAGGATTCCACATTCACATTATAATTACAATTTGAGCTGTACATGATAGCTTAGTGGCAATTTCAAAGGCACAATAAGAAGGGTTTGATCCAGGATAGTGTGATTTACTTACAGGATCAGAAAATTAACATATAAGTTAACAGGATAAGAGAATTAACCCTTTTTTTTTTTGGTTCAGCAAACAAACAACGCTCAACAGACTATCTCCTGATCCTGAATCTTGATTGCAAATGCAAAACTATGTACAATAAAAATGTAAAGGAAAAAAGAAGCTCTGTCCGAATTTATAAACAAAAGAAAGTTCCCATTTCCATATACTATGGATGAGCTCTACTGTACTTCTCTTCTGTTGTTTGCTGGAACTCAGAAGTCACCGAAGCAAAAACAAAGGATGTAATAAATAAATAAAACGAAAGAAAACCAGTCGCATCGGTTGTCAACTGTGCAGGTTTTGATTGAGATACTTGTGCCGAGAGAAAACGTTTCATATATAGTAGGCAACAGCAGGGCCTGACCTGGATCCTATTTGTTGTGCAGCATCCATATATAGAACGAGGAGGAAGTATGGTGGAATTCGAAAGCTACATCACCAGGGTTGCACTAGCATCATGAAGAGCCTGAAAATTTGGTGACGGTAGACTTAATATAAGATAGACTAGAAAGAGAGGAGAATGTAAGCTAATCAAATCTCTTTGTTTGTGTCTTATAACAGTTCATGCAGCAGAAAGCACAGCACGATTATTGCAGTCTCGAAACGTTTCAAGGAGCGAGGCACCAACTGTCAGCGTGAGATGCCAGAAACCACTTACCGAGACGAGAGGAGCCTCCAAATTAGAAGAGGCCTAACATCTGGAGCTCTGTAACGTGGCTTGGATCAAGTTCAGTCACATTCTTGCTTGCGTCTCGGTCTTCAACCACATATTCCTGACATTGCAAAAGTACCACATTGACATTGCTAGAATCAAGTTATATGGAGGAGAAAATAAATGCTCTCTCATACCGAGAAAACAGGATAAAGATATGGAAGGCTGAATCTCTTTTAAGCTACAGCCAGCTAACAAACTGAATGCAAATTCATATCGTAAATGACAACAATATTATATTTTTATGCTCGTCTGAAGTCTAGTGCATGCATGGTATTCTATGTAGCTTGCTTATTCCCAAACCACTATCTACTCCCAAACTAGAAGAGACAGAAAATAACGCGTCCTGCTGTTGTGCCTGTATGTTGATACCAAACCAGACGTAGCCTTCCCAGATCTCAGAGGAGGCAGGACTAGCCTGCCAGTTTGACAGATACCTATGACAGAAAAGAGATGTGCCAAACCTGAAAACAGCTATGTTCACATCTCTGTTAAAACTGCTTGCTAACTTTTTCAGTTCACCATATTCTATCAGTTTAGCATGCTGATGACTGTTCATTTAACCATTCACTACTATCATTGTTGAATGAGGTTTGTAGAGGTAAACATGTAGCAAGAGGCAAAAGAGAAAGTAGGTCACAACAACATATTGAGCATGACAAAAGGGCACTACAAGTTAACTGGCATACCTTTGTTAGCTCCTGTTTGGCAAGAACATGATAATGGCGCTCGTTGATCCTTTGACCACATATTATGGCAATGAAGAAACCATAGAGCAAGCCCACAAGGACAATAGCCAAAACTGTTATAAGGTGACAAAGAAAAGAGCCAGTCAACACGGATCCTCAAATTCTAAGACAAGACATATCTGATGATTCAGAAAATCCAAATAAAAAATGATAACCCAGGATAGACATCCACACTCTTACAATATTCGATAGAATTTCACACGTGCAGATATTACTTTAGAGTACATACCCCCCATAGTGTAAAATCCATAAGGATGCTCTTCGTAGCCAAACATTTCTCTGAGTTCCTCTCCATAAAATCTGTACACCAGAACCCCCAAAATAGCAACAATCTGCACAATCCAATACTTAATTAACTCTTTACACCCTTGAAAGGCTGCTATATGGTAGGAATGCATGTCAAGTGATGCCATCTCAAAAAGACAAACAAAAGTTTATGGTACAGCTGAGAAGGATGAATCACACATCAACTCACACCCAACAATGTCAATAGGTATCATAATGGTATTGCCACAGGTTCATCCATACTTTAAGAAATTCGAGACAAGATAATCAAGTTCTAAAGTTGAAAATGCAAGCGTAACACTTACAAGTATCTTAACAATTTTCTTAAGTAAACAATTAGATTTCTATGTGCTTTTAACTTGAACGCATAAGAACCTTAGAAATTACCCATCTCCACTGTTGTCATACTCTTGTAAGCCGAAATAAAGTTCGATTAACTTAGCTGCTATAAAAGAGCAGTATAGCATCAGTTTCAGCAAATGGTAACCCAATTCTGATAATCAGCATTTCAGGAATTCACATTTTGATCAATCAGGAAAAGAACCAATTCATTATCCTTTCCCGGAATCAGAAAAAAGACCAAAAGATGCACTTGAAACTATATTTCAAGTCTGATAAAGAAAGATGAGAAAAATCATCAACATACCAGCTGAACAGCAATAAAAATGAACGCGTGGTCCCGGGCAACAAGGAACTGAAATTTCAATCTCAACCACCAGCGGTCAGGAGGAACATTTGCACGCAGTACAAATAACGCCCGGCACTCAGTACAGTGAGCAAAAGCAAAGCCCTCCTGTAACAATTATGGAGTGAAGTTAATCAAAGCTTCAGTTGCTCATAACCAGACTCTGAAGTTACAGTTCTTGAATATTCATCATTCTGAAAGAACTACTATCTTCAAATTTTTAAGTGCAATGATAACTAGCAAAAACCAGGAACTCTAATTATCTAGACAGGATCTATGGACATACTTTTGAGTGGACCATGAAAAAACATATGAACAACAATTTACCTTAGTGGACCTCCAATTATCTAGACATGATCTATGGACATACTTTTGAGTGCCTTTGCAATGACATGGTGCTATTAAGTCATCACCTGAAATTGTGAGCACTTGCTTTAGCATTGACGAACACAAATCATATTCAGAAATAGAGAAGCAAGCCCGAATGCAACCATACTGGGATAAAAATATTCTAAAACAAAAAGGGAAATGGCATAATAGATAGACCTTCACAATCAAGGCATATACGGCATTGTGGCTGGTCCGAGTTGACCAGAAGGCAAGTTTCATCTATGAAAACACTTTGGAAATCATCGCCATGGACATCACTATCTCGTTCTAATGTAGTGATATCACGTGAAGAGGATGATCCATCAACCTGTGGTGAAGTATCAGAATGGGACAAGATGGGTTCACTTTCTGAAATGTCTTCGTTATGACTATCATGTGATACTAATTGCATTGCGGACAATGTTGAATTGGTACTAAAATGCATGCATCATCACAGACCCTATACTTCTGACTGAACATCTCAGTAGTGACTTCAGAATCTGAAAAAAAGGAAAGGAAACATTTAAGAGAACACATACTAAGGGTATAAATACAATAAACCATATTAGTAATTACACAAGGTGTCCATTGAGTCTTCAATCAAATATTTCTCTCATATACTGTCCTATTTGGAAATCAGAGGAAATTACAAGCCTAAGCATATCACTAGATTCACTTATGCATGATGAAACACAGTTAACAAAGTCACGGGAAATGGGGTTATAGGGGATGAAAACCATTGTCGGTGATTAACAGGATGAACAAAGATATGGGTGATGCTGATTTCAAAGACGCTGAATATAGTATAGCTACAGCCTACAGCTATCCCGCTTCATATTTGTTTTGTAATGGTGCAAGCAGGATCTAGAGATTCCATTCGTTGGTATGCACAAAAGGATAGGCAATATTGGTGCACTTTCTGTCCCGAGGGCTGATTCAAAGCAAAGAATCCAAATATCTTGGCTTACCGATAGTGCGAGCAGAATCCCAAATACAAATGGACTAGAGCTCATATTCCTATCACAACTAACAATCTGCTCATCCCCAAAATCATAATTGGGAAATTATCCAAACAAGGCGAATGATTATGATTGCGAAAACAGGCAAAAGCTTTTTCATTTCTACGAAAATTCCAACTATTGGCGCTGGACCAAGCTAGGATATCTCTATTTCCATCCAAAAAACAAGCCAACCGAAGACGAAAACCCCGTCAGGCATGCCTGAAGGGAATAGAACAACGAGTCTAATACCCAATTGGGTAAAAAGTAAAAACCACAAGCAATGAAATTACAGAGGAACCAGAAAATCTTGAATCTAAATCTCCAACTCGTACAACAAACAAGCATCGCTCTCCCTGAAACCATTGCCTCGCCTCAATCGAGGAAGGACAGAAAGCAAAACCAAGGATTGCCGCGGGGAGAGAGAGATAAGAGGGAGGGAGATGTCTAACCTGAAGGGAATTGGGAAGAACTCAAAATGGATCCACAAGAGATTCAAATGGCATTCAGCATTCGCCATCAAATCTCTTCGCTTTTCTTTCTTTCCTTTCCCCCCCTTTTCCCCAAAGCTGCAGAACAATCCGATTCTGATTCTGAAATGGTGTTTCTTGTTCTTCTTGCTCGTCCTTTCTGCGAACCTTGTTCTAGGGTTCTCCGCTGGCGCCTGGCTCAAAGTCAAATGATGGGGGAAGGAAAGGGAATGGGATTAGGGGAAAGGCAAGCGGAAGGACCCAAAGGGTGGAAGGAAAGGCAGGGCAGGCAGGACAGGATGGAAAACGGATGCTTGGACCGACTGCCGACCAATTCCCCAAATTTCATTTTCCTTTGATCCGACCAGAAATTGCGGTAAAAGGAAAAGTATAATTACTGGAACACAGTAACAAGATTACACAATTTGAATCCAATAATTTAGGTGGTTTGGATAAACCGATAGAGGAATTTAATGGAAATTTAGTTCAACTGTACCATTTGGTTAGATAAAATATCGGTTAAGAGTATTGAGCCCCATAGAATTTCGAATGGTTTGATTTCGAGGCAATTAGGATCTTTTGGAGGGAGAAATTTGGGAATTACGCAATTGGGGATCATTTGGATGGAGAAATTTGAGAATGATTTAATTAGGTCGATTGCCTTAATTTACAAAATGAGTTTGTAACAAAAAAAATTTAAAATTACCTCCTGGATAATTATAATTGCCTCAAAATGGAGTAATTGTGAATTTCCTAAATCCAATTGCTCCTTATGTTTTCTAACTCTACTGAAACGATGTTAAAATTGCCTCATTACAAATACTCATTTTGTAAAATACTAAAATGACACAACGTAAGTAACTAGGTTATCGAGTTTCCAACCTCAGAAAGCGTTTACAAGCGGTTACATTACTAGACTATGAAGGTTAGTTTTTTTTTTTTTTTGCCATAAATATTCCAAAATGAATATCCAGATACAGGGTAAATGTCACATTTGGTCACTGAGATTACTACTAGAAAAATTTAATATCAATTTTTGTCACTCGAATTACTAAAACTGGTCACATATGGTCACTCTCCTGTAGCTTCTGTCCAACTCCGGGCACTCGAATTATTGAACATGTCACATTTAGTCACTCGAATTACTGAAACATGTCACTACGAAAACTAACAGGAGAGTGACTAAATGTGACCAGTTTCAGTAATTCGAGTAACCAAAATTGATATTAAATTTTTCTAGTGACTAAACATGACATGATTTAGTAATCGTAGTGACAAAATGACCAGATGAATATACCAGACTTTTTCAAACCAAATCACAAAATAGACAAGAGAAAGAATTGTTGGTTGAACAGAGCTTGTTTTGCTACTAAGGTTTGTTGGAATACTCATAGCTTACTGTATGTAAAGGAGCAAATGCACATTTACAAGTACCTTACTGCATGTATAACCCATAGATACAATCACGTCGTCGCTGTAATTACAAGGTGAATGAACAATTACAATGGGAACGAGAGAAAATGACTGGATGGCAGATCAGGCAACCGGAGTTTGCACTTTCTGAAAGCCGACCACCATAAAAAAGGGTATTAACAACACAACAGAGGCAGTGCTGCATTTTCTCTTCACATGCTCATCACTTATATATACAGGTAAGTATAACTTTCACACTGGAGATGGCAGCACTGAGACTGGGAATGATTTGCAGCGGATGGCTAGCCGGGGGATTCAATAACCCAACCAAGCAGATGGGATCGGCTGGAACCTGCTCTTTGCACAGGCCAAGGCCTCGTAATACTCCGAATGATTGAAACAATCACGGAAGTCGGTGAACAACTTCTCAAACACCCTCCACTGCACCTTTACGGATTTCGTGTATGGATAGGGAAGGAAAACCTGCAGAGGGTCAGAGGAGAAGACCAAAGTGTCGTAAAAGCATGATGCTTCGAGTTTCAAATTGTTGCAGCTAGTAGGCATATTGCCAAATGAAATCGTGTTTTGCTTGAAGCTGATGCAAAATTGAAGGGGAAAATGTTGAATGGCACAACAACACTTACATCCCCTTCATGAGCAAGGCATTTAAGTAACTGGAAAGTGTGCTCATTTTCCTCCAGATTGTTAAGAACAGCCAGCCAGATTTGTGAAGCAAGCTCATGAGCGGTATCTCTGGAATTTCCACAGGCAATGAACTGATCTGCTCACACCATAACGTTATTCATTCAGCTTTGCAATTTGCATAACTGTGCAGACAACCATAAGTGCTAATGATTACAATAGGCTTCATAAATCTGATTATACGCAATGAAAGGAATGTTCCCTGACCTTTAGACGCGCATTGAACACATCTCAGTTATTCATCTAGTGGCTAAGAGTGTCAAGTTTAGCTTACAGTAGCTTAGGTCATTGAGAAATAAGTAAAACATGTTACATTGGATATCATTGCTGGTGAATGATAATATTGTTTTAGAGATCCACAATTGGCATTAGCACAGTCATCACAGGCGAACGGAATATCTTCTACTCTCTAAGACTTCAAAATCTCTGTAACTCGACAGATCTTGATATTCAGGAGCCTTAATAGAACATATAAAGTCCAACGATCTAAACATACAAGTATCGCATACGCCATCTTATGAGCCAGAGCACTAAATTACTTATTGCTAGGGAGGTTGCAAATGTAAAGTAATCAAAACAAGGGGAGGAAGGAACCTATTATTGTTCCGTGAAGTATGCCAGAAGGAGGTGGCACAGGCGAACGTTCAAGTTGCTCTCTGAGAAACAAGTAAGTATGACCCACAATTTCGTCGATCTTGCCAAAGATGTGTTTACTTACATGCAAAGCCGCATATCTCCTGATGCATAGAATGCACTAGAGGTGAGTTTGAAATGACAAGAAAAAAATATAATTTGGTTCAATATCATAGCAGTGACGCATTTCAAATGACATTCTGGTACGCAATGTCTAGGGAAATACACATGCACGTGTTTCAGCAGGAAAAATCTCAAATACTGAAAGTAACAATCCTGCTGGTTCCCATTTCTGCATGGGCAATACATATTGGTTAGACGCTAGGAGGAATAAGGGTAGCAGCTACAGAAACAAAAAGTTACTCTTAAATAGCTCTCAAGATCTACCATCAGTTCATGACAAGAAAAGAACACTTTCAGAATAATTTGCAATGGGAACTGAAAAGAATAAGATGTACCGTTTGCTCAACCCTTGGGGTATCGGCCCAGGCCATCTTTTAGTTAGAGCAGCAAAGGGAAATGTTCTGATAATAGCAGCTTGCCACAAGCATTCCCCACGAAATATATCAGCCCACTGCTTTCTTACACAAGCCAACTGGACCCATTCCACGAACGGTATTCTGATGAATATTTCTATTAGCAGATGATCAGGAAGCTCTCCAAGTGTATTACTAACATATACAACAATGTCATTGCCAGTATTATCTGCCATGCCCATCAGAAGCCTGCAAAAATCAACCACGAAAAAAAAAAGAAGCTTGATCATGAAACAGGTGGAGAATAAAACCATCAATAGCAGAGGAGCTAGCAAGATGATGAAGTGTGAAGTTCAGACATTATAGAATCAGGCAGAAATTTCACTGGTTTGATGGAGCAAGGCCATAAATAATAGGGTGTGGACGGATAACATAAGCCAAGCAGTCAAGAGAAAGCTTCTTGCTGGAATCAATACCAAGAAAATGAAGAAAAAAAATACAAGATTATACAACTGCATAGTTCTCATTTGGCACAGGGTATCCTAATTCATAACAAACAAACTTCAAGTGAACAAGGTGGCTGTTAGGTCCATATAATAACTTAGACTAACCGACACTTTTATCTTCTTATTTGGGTGAGAAAAGAACCAAGAGTAATCTTTCAGTGCGAGCGAGAACACACCACATTGCCTATTTGATTAGTCCTCTAGACTCTGCTGCTAAATAGAGTGCAAACAAGCTTCCTGCCTAGTAATATCACGGTCGTATGTCCCTCAGTCAGGATGTCTTTCCCAGAAGTCAAAGCGGGGATTATCTGTCAGCACTCTTAGTTAAAACTAGAAAACAGCCAACCAAATTGCACAGGCATAGGCCGTTGAAAGAAAAAAAAATTCCATCAAAGGCCAACACAGTTAAGCTGGAACCATGATCAATTCATGGACAGTCAGTCACAAAGAGTTGGCACTTGTGGGTTGATCTGACACTTTTAAGTTTTAAGACTGTAAGAACCTTTCAGAACGGGAGCACCATCTTCAACCATGCTCGACCCACAAAAAAAAAAGGGTACAGCTTTTCTTCAGGCATTGGTATTTCTTCACTTCTTTCCTTCTCAATCTCTATAATGCTTCCCCACAACAAACATTGCCGTTTGAGAGGCTAGTACTGAGAGCTGAAGGAACCACTAGAGAAAGGAAAGAGGGTAACTCTTGCAACAGACATATTCAATCAGGAGCAGTTGAAAGAGCTGGTGATTAGGGTGATGATAAAGAATGCATTGGTTGATCATCAACAAACAACGAAAAGATCATAATTTTCAAGGTAAACTCCATAACAAACAGAGCAATATTAAACACGAAGCACTCCTCCATTACAATTACATACATGAAGAGCACCTCTTAGCCCAGAAATCAATTGATAAAAAAAAAACCCAAAAATTATTGGGTTTTCGGGACCTTAATTAGCTTAATTTCGGCGCAAGGGACGGAATTCAAAAGGAACCCAGAAAGGACAGGGGGCTAGAAGTGAAAGCGGGGAGAAATGGTCGAAAGCTGCAAGCTGAGAAAAGAAGGAAAGACGAGCTGAAACCGATAGATACAGAAATGAGTCTTACCTGGATTGGATCCCGCAGCGCCGATCACAGAGAGAAAGAAGGGGCGGAAAAAGTGAGGTTTTGCGGGTTGGGTGGCAGTTCTAGCAGATGAGTGTAGTAACAACAGAAAGAAAGAGATGATAAAGAAGACAGAATGGCGGAGGGAGGGAATTGGAAGAAGTGGTAGTTGAGAATTTGCGGGCAGGGACGGAAGGACGAAGGGCTTCGTTTCCAAGTGATCTATGCACGTTATGAGAGGCTCTCATTTGGCCAGGTTTTTTTTATTATCAATTTTCCCATATATATTCCGGCTCATGTTATATTTTGTGAAGGGTTTGTACCCAATATGTAATGGCGAAGATATATATATATATATATATATATATATATATGATTCATAAGCAAGAAATCAACCTTTTAGACTAAACGTGCTCATTGTAGAGGACTATAATGACAAATCACCTTCTGGAAAGTCACTTTGATATGCAACTCAAGGCAAAAAATCGTGTAGGCTTGGACCCAAAGCAGATAATATTTTGATCGAGAAAAGATTTAAGATGTTTCAAGTGATATAAAAAAGCCTCTCATAACGCATTATGGAGGTGAAATGGAAGAGTGCTGGGAAGAAGTTCGAAATTAAAAAAGTTGATGTTGATGTTGTAATACAATAATCATCATCGTCAAAGGTAACATAGCCTAGTGGTGAAACTACTGGACCAATTGAGCTCTGGATGTGGGAGGTCCTGAGTTTGATCCCAGTGGCACCACTTGAGCGTTCCCGGCGGCACCCTTGGTATAGGAGGCGAAGCCTTCGCATCCCCGATGTCGATAGCAAAAAGCCCCGGTTAGTATACTGATACCCTCAGTGGTCAAACGGCACGTGAGGTTGATGCATCAACCACTCAACCATGGCACTAAGTCACTAACAAAAGTCAGTCATTGTTTGTAATTTGTATATGCTTGTTGGGCATGGGAATGTAAATCCAAATTACAACACAGCTCTGTGCTACTGTGGCATTGCCTTCATAAACTTCCAGGCAGAAACAGAGAGCAACGGCATGTCCTTCCACCCAATCATCAAGCTCTTGCAATCCAACCCAACCAAGCAAGAACCCGCGAACGGCGACTCGCGAATCACCATGTTCGCATGCTGCAACGCCAGCCCTCGAATCGCAATCTCCAGCATCCCAAATCTCGCAAAATACTCCCTCCAAACCCTAATCTTAACATCCCGAACAACCCTCTTCTCCCCTTCCGCCACCAGCACGTTCCTGATCCGGTCGTTCAGGTACCACGACTCCACCGCCGCCCTCGCCGCCTCGTTCCCTTCCATACAACTCGCCAGGCAGTCGAAGTACGCGCCGGCGGTGAACAGCGTCTCGACGAACCGGTGGCCGAAATCCGGCGCGTTGTGGTTCGCCTCCGTCTCGATCGCCACCATCACCCGCGGCCGGACGGACCGGATCAGCTTCATCATCTCGTGGAGCCGGTTGGGCCGGGCGATCATCGGGCCGAGCGCGTAGTCGGAGAACACCACCGTCGCTTCCTTGGGCTGGAGGCCCAGTTTGTCCTTGTGGGCCGAGGGAGGCTCCCATATCCTGACCACGTTGAAAGAGAACGGCAATCCCATCCCTCGGGCGAAACCCGCCAGCCTCCGACCCGACCCGTGGATGAACCGCTCCTCCGTCGCGTCTTGTGCTAGGGCGGTGATTCGAAGCATCTCGATCGAATCGCCGGAACTCAATAGAGCCTGCATTAGAGCAATCATCGGCAGGCCGGAGCAGATCCGGAGATCGATTACGTGGATCCGTTTTTCTCCGGCGATGTTGTCCATCAAGATCTGGACGGCGGCGAGCTGGGAAGCGGTGTAGAAGGGGACTCTGTTGCGGAACTCCACCGCGCTCTTGTTCGGGAGCGTCACCGCCGCGTCGGAGTCGAACGGCTTCCGATCTTCGTCGTCTTCGTCTTCTGCCGCTCCGCGGCCTTCGATCCTCTGGCGAAGGGCGCTGCAGAAGTAGTACCCGACCCGCTGGATCGGGTTTCCGGTCTGGGAGGCCAATCGATTGCAGAGGCGGAGGAGGCCGGCGGCGCGGTCGAATTTCCCCTTCCCGACTTTCTCCGCGCAATCGAGGAGGTACTCCATGAGCTCCACGTTCTTGGCTTCTTCCTCGGTAAGTCCGGTGGAATCACGGCCGCCGCTATCATCGCCGCCGCCGGTGAGTTGAAATGGATTCTCGAGCAATGAAGGTAGGTCGAATTGAATCCCTTGAGATTGTATGATTCTGGCACCTGCCAGCTTTATGATTTCGTTAGCCCACAGCTCCCGGGTGCCATCTGCGGCCGATTCGGGGTTTATCTTGCCAGGGGAAGAGGAGAGGCGGTGTTTGAGGATGTCGAACCAGGCTCCGGGATCAAAGACTTGCTGCTGCTGCGGCTGGTTGTCGTAGTTAAACTCTTCTTCTTCCTCTGCTTCTCCGTCCTCTTCGGAGCCACTGTGGTAATCAAGCTCGACCATATCCGTGATTCCGAAATCCGGGAAGGAGTCCACATCGAAGAACAGGTTTGGTGTTAAGGCTGGGGATTCTGAGGCTTGGAGCTGATTGATCTTCTCCATTTCTGGCAATTGCGGAGAAGGGTGTGCGTACTATTCGATTCCCTGCTCAACCCACTACTTATAGTCGTCGGATTTGTCGAATGTTTATCAAGAAGGACAAGGAGTAGGAAGTAAGAACAAGAACAAGCACGGTTGCTGGAGTGCTCTCGGCCGGCCGACGGATTCCCTTACGAAAGAAGACAATTGACGTGCTTACGAGTTACAGCAGAATTGCAGATCCTCGACGGCTAGATTTATTTGATCCTTTGGCCGCTCGTACACTTGGAGAGCTTCGTGATCTATCTTCTAATAGAAATATTCATCAGACTACCGTTAGTGGAATCGGCTTGTGTCAGCCTGCAGTGGGCTAATGTATTTTCGCGGGGGAGTTCTTGTGGCAAAGCTGCTATTATCAGAGAGCAACTTGAACAGCTCCTTCTGGCATACTTCACACAACAGTAACAGGTGCACCTCTTCCTCCGCTTGCTTTGATAAGTTTACATTTGCAACTTCCCTAGCAATCAGTAATTCAGGGCTCTGGCTCATAAGTTAGTGTATGGCTGTATGCCATGCTTGTCTGTTTAGATCGTCGGCGTTTATATGTTCTATTAAGGCTCCTGAGAACATCAAGATCTGTCATGGGTTACAGAGATTCTGAAGTCTCAGAGAGTACAAGATGTTCTGTACGCCTGTGATGACTGCGTGCTAATGGCAAATTTGGATCTCTAAAACAACGTTGTCATTCACCAGCAATGATATGATATCCAATATAACATCTTTTACTTATTTCTTACTGAGCTAAGCTATTGTACAGCCAGACTTGACATGCTTAGCCGCTAGGTGCATCTCCTAGATATGTTTCATGCACGTCTAATGGTCAGGGAACATTCCACCCATTGCGTATAATAAGATTTATGAATCCTGTTGTACTCATTAGCATTTATGGTTGTCTCTGCACAGTTATGCAAAGCTGAATGAATACCGTTATGTTATGGTGTGAGCAGATCAGTTCATTGCCTGTGGGAATTCCAGAGACTCCGCGCTCACGAACTTGCTTCACAGATCTGGTTAAGGAAAATGAGCGCACTTTCCCGTTACTAATACTAGTATCAATACCCGCGACTACGTCGCAGGAGATTTAGTCGTGTTGGGCCAAATAAATACCCTCTTGTGTGTTGTAGAAAAAAAAAAGAAGTGGAATAACAACCTGAATGTGGACAATGATATTGATCTGTGACTCATGAGAGCTTGAGAGTATGGTCTTGTGAGTCTTTTGCTCTTGTTGTACTCTCATGGGCCACTGCTGCATATAAGTAGGCCTTTGGCAACTTCATGAGTCACAGGTTATTGCTGTATTTTATCTCTTTGAGCAGTTTTATGAAGTAAAGACGTCATGAATCTACAGGGAGGAAGAGGATTAAACAATCTCTTATTACTCTGGCAAGCTGGCTGATTAAAGCAAGACTTAATTTGGAAAGTGGTTGTGGATAGTAGGCTCAGATTAGTGGGACTGATCGAACATGCTTGCTGCTGTGACCTGGGAACCTGTCATTGCTGATGCAAGATAACACCCGCTACATTTGTATCCATTTAACACTTGTCTTTGCTGGTTATACTTCCATTTAAGACTTGTCTTTGTTTGTTGATTAGGGGTGACTGCAAGCTATTCTTGAAGCTGTTGGTATTGGTTTGTTGGCTGGCAATTTACTGTTGCTGCAGATTGTTTCCTGTCAACTGTTACAAAATAAAAGAGAGTGCTGAATTTACCAACTATTAGGTGGTTTGACAGGATTAAAGCAGACTTGGAGCTGTTGGTTTTTCTTTTTCGAGTCATCAAATAGCACATCCATACACATTATGCTGCAGAAATCTACTGTTGAGAACAAATGAACCTATAAATGACAAACTTAAAATGTTATTTTAAGAAAAGTGATAAGCAGGGTCTTGGGAAGGGGAAATGGGGGAAAAAACTCAGTTTACTGGAGGTAAGCTTACTAATCGATCTGTTCAGCAACTTGTCAATCGGTTACACAATCTCGATGTCCATTGATGATGAGAAACAATAGCTGGTACTTAATGTTCCTTACTGGTGGAGAAGCTCTTGATCCATACTCATGAATTGAACTAACCTATCATGCTATCAAAAGAGTTTTTGAAGGGCATTATCCTGGAAATTTCTACACATAATCAGCAAGCAAAAGAGGAATAGAAATTAAGGACATATCAGATCGCGACTTCTCACAGCAAATCATATAAATAAAACTTAATATGGGTTCTGGAAAGTGAAGAATCTTATACCTGACCATCTTTCTGGTAGGATTCATTCAAAGCCTCATTGGTGGTGGTGTATTCTTGCCTAATGTGGGAACAAAGAGAAGTTGTAGTTAGAGCTTATATTCAAAAAGTTAGACTATGAAACAATACAAATTTGATCTAGGGAAAGAAACAACATGGATTCACGAAAAGGGTTTACATTCAAACACGAATCCATTTAATTGAGCATTTAAATATGGATTCACAAACACATAATTTGAGCAACAAATGCACGAAAAGAGTTCACAAACTTACATTCAGTGAGTGGAGTTTGCATCTGGTAAGGGTTACTGTTCTTTGAATCTAGATTCCAGTTCTTTCACGTCTCCAATGCTATGGAGAAACTCAAGAACAGCAAGATAAAACTATCCCATCAGCTACTGACATTG